GGGGGGGGGACAGTCGTGCACGGGGGGGGGCTATCGGTTTGATTGGCAAGGGGGTGGCTTTGAAACGCTTTCTCGAGAGTGTGATCCCGTCTTGATTTGGAAGTAGATGCGTGCGTACAATGTAATGGCCTCTCTGGTTTAGTTGTTATGTGTAGACTCGACAACGCCTCTATACTACCCCTCAGCGTGTACTATTTTTGCGATCCTCGAGGGAATCAACGCCAGCGAGGGCTTCTCAGAAATTGGAACCATTCGATCTGTGCGACGTGGGGGGGTCGTGTGCACCTGTCCGCCCACGAACGGCGTGCGGCCACCGCTGACAGCGATCTCCGTTGGTGCGTTTGTTTTGTTTTCTCCCGACCATGCATACCGTGTTCGTTTGCTTCGGCAATAGAGTCGAGTCGAAACCTATACAGCGCAGCCGGGACGAAGTTTGTATTTTTTTCTTGCGTCGTTCTGTTCGCGTGTGTGTGGCTCGCACAGCACCAAGCGAGAAGATACATGAGGTGATCGGCGAGTTGCATGAAGGGCGACTTTCTTGGGGGTTGGACTGCTGAGCTGAGTACAATGGTTTTTGTGGGCCGTTCCAGTCGAGCTTCAGGGGTAGCGCTGACATCAACATGGTGTCTCGAGAACCAAAAGGCGCGCGCCCATCTGTATCAATTTGTCTGTCTCCCAGCTGCCACAAACTCCACTCCCCGCACAACCCTCGACACCCTCTCCACGTCAACACCCCCGACTACCCCAACCCCCAATCCTTCTCCACGCCACCCCTTGGTTGTCTGTGCGGCACCAACATCCCCAACGCCGCCAGATAGGTATAGGCATGGACAGGTTCAGGGTGCCGGAACAGCTGGTGAGCACGTGGCCGCTGACGGAGGTTCTGTCAGCCGGAAGCGGGAGCAATCAGGACCCTTCCCCCGGGATGAGGATACTGGCGGAGTCCATCGGCCGACCGGGCTCCGGAATGCGCCCGCTTCAGGTAAAAAGTGAATCAACACTTGCTCACGATGTGGTTTCGGCTCCCGCTCCCTGTGTTTGGAGTACATGGCGGACATCTACATAGTGCTACGCAGTCAGCACTGCGTATTGATCCCCCTTTCGCCGTGGTACGTGTAGCCTGAGTGAGGCAAACGTTTGTTCTCGGTCCCTGCTAATATCATTGGTCGAAGTACGTCCTCCTCTGCGTTCAGTAATGACTTCTGAACGCGAAATGTGGTATGTGGTCTAATGAGGGTTTGTCCGTCAAGTTCTGGCGGCGTGCACGCCGCTGCGGTTGCCTCACTATCGTGGGTTTCGCTCCTCTCAGGTGCTGACATGACACCATCAGGCCGCTCTATATCTGTTCTCTGCTGTTGAGCAAAATCATTGTCCCTCTACAACCATCCAGGTTGTCGTCCCACGTTGGACCAGATCGTTTTCTCGACACGACGGGTGCAAAGGGGTGCCCCTGCGACAGGGTTACAGGAGAGAGCAGAGCTCACAATGTTGGAGAATGTATGCCAACTTTACCGGAAAGAATCAGATGCCCTTGTGTTGTAAGAAAATAAACAATGTGGATGGGGCACCATACTGGAGTGTGGCAAGTTCCGAAAGAGTAGTGAAAACGTGGTAAGGAGAACGAGTAACGAAACAGTGGTCACCAGCATGATAAAACAGAAGGGAGATGTGCCAAACAAAGCGAGATGTTCCCATGCAAGAAGCACTCCCGGGCGACTGTCGGCGGTGCACCTGCAAGCGCTAGAAACAATGCTTCCGTGTCGATTCCAAAGGAATTCGCGGTCGATGGTGACTTAACTAGGTAAGGGAAGCAACAACTTACGTACCCCACCGTCCGCCCGTCACGCCCCTGAGCGCGTGCACGTCGTGCGTGTACCAACCATCCGACAGGCGTAGAGCTGACTTTGTACAGCCTCAGGCTGTAGCGAAGTTCCTTATTTGCCGTGTGACGATATCGGGGTGGGAGGAGCACGCAACCATAGCACGCCGCCCCCCGACCCCCCCCTAATTGTCGGTTACACCCCAAACGAAACCTCCACCCCACGAATGCAGCAGAACCGGCGACGGTTGTGGAATCTGTTCTGGCGTGCGAGCGAGAGCAGCAGGCGCAGCTGTTCAGCAGCGTGGTGTTGGCCGGGGGAGGGTGCTGCTTCGCGGGCCTGGCAGAGAGAGGGTGGAGGCCGAGATAGAGCAGAGCCTCGACGCTCCGTCCACAGGGTGCAGAGTCAAGGTCCTCGCCGCCGGCAACACCGAGCGAAAGTGAAGAGGACATGTTGTAGCGCTTGCCTCGCGTCCCGTCGTGGAGGGATTCTCGGTGGTGGTAATTGCGGTAGCCGTTTTTCGTCCAGAGTGAGTCGTTGTGTTGGATGGTACACGGGGTCTGTTCATTTGTATTCTACTGTGCTTGCTCTTGTGTGACGAAAACATGGATGAGCACACAAAATTTCAAACCTGTTCTGCCACCAAGTTTTGCCATATTGTGCCGCTTTCCGCTGGTTCTGTCAATTTCCGCCTTACTGTTGTGGGGTGCCCCCGTCAGCTGTAGCTTCATGTACAGCACAGCGGCGGCGGCTTCGGTTGGAGAGAGGGTCCGGACAAGAATTACACTCTTAAACCAGTTTCCCGTCAAATCGTATCATATTGTGAGATATGTGTTTTCTCATGGCCGGGACAAGTCGCCGTTTACTCTCCTCTGACAATCCGTACTTGCCCATGAAAATGAATATTCTCTCCTCGACCGTAGCCCTTATGGCCGTTTTCGTCCAAGTTGGTTGGTGTGTTGCCTCTTTCTCTGTCTTTCGCTCCGCGTTTTCAAAGTTGCGCGAGCTTTCGTATCTTGTGTGGCTTATGATTGTGAATCTACTCGCAATGAATGACCAGTCGTGAGATCGGTGCTGCTTGTTTTTGTGCTTGCTGCGATGTAGGCGCCAAACTGGGCATCTCCCGGGGGCATTGTTTTGCCAACTCTGTGTTTCAATTGTTCTGCAAACTTTTGGTTTGCTATGCAACTATGCATCTCTCTTTGCTACAATGGAAACCGCCTGCTTTATGCTACCTCCAACCTTACTTGTTTTGCACATGCTCGTTGCAGCCATTGCTGCTAGAATCAAGCACCCGAATATTTAAGCAGCCCCCTCTTTGTCGCTTGTTATGGTTTCTCTGTTTAGAAGGCATGTGCCAACCCCTCCTTGCGAATCTACCAGCGCTGTTCTCTCTTCTCTTCGATCTGCTATCCATGACTCGAAATGGAATGGAAAACGGCAAAACGTGCGCTATTGTAGGCAACGGAAGTAGAAATGATGCGATGGCATGTATCATGCACTTACAGCAATTCAAATCCTTCGATAGGAGAACACGTTGTGCAGCTTTGTCCTATGTCTCCCAATGTAGACCGAATTCAGCACGTTACCACTTTTCCCGTCCAGTTCTTGCTCTTTGCTGTCCTCCTTTCGCCAAGAGCGCGGTCAGCCTTTCCTCGTTGTCCAAGAAAAAGGATGTTTTTCACCCAGCGGCCCCCTTGTTTTTTTCTTGAACATTTTCTCAAGCCCCATCATATCCTGTTCCCTAACTGGACGAATTCGATAGGGTCAGTGCATGGCTCGGAGGCTCGATCCTGGCTTCCGTCGGCAGCTTCCATGAGATGTGACTGTCCATGTCTGAGTATGAGGAGGACGGGGCGCACATGATCGACAAGAAGTGTCCATGACGGCCTGTGTGAGGCTTGGTCTTGGACCTCGTTCTTTGAGGCGCGACCATGTTGGATGTTGCACCTGTATTGTACGCGACCAAGGAGTGCGGCCGGCTCGAGGGTCCGCAGGAGGTACACCTGTGGAAAGGCCACTACATGGTCTTTCCATATGGAATATGCATACAACGTCGAAAATTTCGATAATTACACCGCTACGTAGCTTCCGATTTTCCCTCCACCTTGAAACCGAGGAGCCTGGCGCTTGTCATGAGCCTCGTGCATCGAGGGTGACGTGTTTTGTGGACGGACGTGTGCGTGCTGGTGCGCGGCCTTCTTTCCAGCGCGTAAGGTAGTGTGGTCGGCGAATGCCAGTGTCGGTGAACTCTTTGTGTTCGCTTTCTCTTTCTTTTCATTTTTGTTCCTCTTTTTGGCTTGGTTCGATCGGCTCCCTGTTCTTCGAGGTTGTTGTTTTCTGTTTTCAGTCATGATACGTAGGTGGCCCGCAATTATATGATTGGCCAAAAAGTTGAATGGAACGTTCCACAGAAAGGGAAAAATTCCTTGGTCGTCCGATGACGTCATCCACGGTCATGACGTCACCTCTTGATAAAATTCAATAGATTCAAGTTCGCCTTGGGTGACAATTGATGACTTGATGACCTCCGGCATACTCCGTGGACTCGACCGCCTCCATGTGCCACAAATGTATCGAACCACACACTCACTCGACCAGCCTCCATCAACAAATCCGGTCACACATCAACTTCTACAGCAGCAGCAGCAGTTTGGCTTCGGGCGAATCGGCACCAGACCACACAAACTAGTCCGTAAAACCGCGAACCGCGAGTGGTCAAAGGTCAAACCCGCACGGGGAGAGAGAGTGAAAATGTGAACAGCAGCTGCGCGGGGCCTCAAAGAACAGCGACTTAGAGACGACCCTGAAGGCGAAGCTCAAGGCGGCGCGGAAGAAACGCAGCAGCGCGAGGTGGAGAGCACTGGAAAAGTTCTTCGAGGGCTATGTGAGGCAGCTCGAGAAGAAGAGCCGTGAGGGGGACCAGGCGGGTTTCTACAGGCACCTGAAGATGATCGACGTCGAAGGTAAGAGGCCACTTACCTCCCAGAACATCAAGGACGAGGACGGTAAGGTCCTTCGGGACCCCACGCTTACCCGCCAGCGGTGGGCGCGGTGGTTCCACAAGCTCCTTAACACCAAGTCGCCGACCATCGACCTGCATGCGACCGACAGAGTCGAGTTCTTTCACTACCTTCTTATTTCCTTCCCATACTTCTCCGGCGTACTCTAGCGGCGGTACGATTACGCTCTTCAAAACCGTCAATTTGATGCGTGTATCGAGGTGGGGGGGGCGGGGGGGAGAAAAAACCCTTGCCTGTACATACTCCGCTGGGGCGTGCAAGACTGGGGAGCGGAGTGTTTGTGAAAAGTTTAGTGCTGCAAGGGTGTATTTGAGGTCTCACTGCGCATGAGCAACACGTGCGAATGAATGAATGCGAGAATGTTCGGCTTTCATTTTCAGTCGGACGTCCGGACCACCCAGGCGGGAGGCGTCACTTCATCAGACGTCCTGTCGGGGATTTCAAGAACACTTTCACACACAAGCACACGCGTGTCCAAGCATATCTGAGATGATCGATTTGTGTAGTTTCACTCAAATATATAGAGTATGGTCGCTCACGCTCAGATCTTGCGCCATCATTGAATATATATCCCCTGTTTGTCTATCGAACACCGATTGCCTTTGCAATTCCGGCGAACCCCTTCGATTCTCCCACCGCGACCGCTCCACCAGCCATCCCTCTACTACAGCAAATATCAACAGCACAAAGGTGAACCACAGGTATAATGAAATGCCCGGAGAACACAGCAGTTTTGTTTCGTTTCTTTTTCATATAGTCGACCTCCTATCGCGAGATGCCGCTACCAACCGTTTCAGTCGATTGATGTCTGACATACATCCGCGCAGGACCTGATCCGAGTACAAGAATGTAGAGAATTCGTGAGCTTACTCCTTCTCCTTCCCTCCCCCTCCACACACCCATCCTCTCTGATCAGTCCCACCCTGGAGCTTGAATGTATTCCCTCATCTTCACCCAACGCATCACAGGCGATTCTTGTTCAAATTTCTATCGCCACCTCGCGCCCGCGTAACGCGGATCGTCGAAGCGCCCGTTCCTTCTCGTGGACCACGGCCAACATTCCAGCTACGCCGCCCGAGTGTTGTTGGTTATTAGTCTACCAAGCGTTCTTTCCTACCGGTCCGCACTAAACATTCCTTCAACGGCCCCCAAGTGCTGGTCATTAGTCTAACAGACGCGACTTCCAATTGTGAGAAGGTTTGTGGAAGGCCAGAACCGTCTGCTCATCGACAGGGCGAACAGAAAAAGGGAGTACATGCGCGAGAACTCTGATGGTGACCGGCCCCGCAGTCCGAAAGTCGGCAGCATAGTGGTCTCTGTACAAGTCTACGTAGTCTGTAGGGTTTCCAAATGTTACAGCATTTCTGAAATCCCGCTTGGAAGGCGTTTCCGCCCTTCGCTTCGAAATCACACAGTAATCATTTCAATATGTTTTAGACCACACACACGGTTGTTGCTTGCCGTGAAGGGCGGCAAGGCAAGGCTCGGCCTGAAGCTACAGACAACCATTTCCAGCCGTTTTTATTCCCGTTCACATCCTCTCGGTTGTAGTAATATCGCGAACGGGTAGTGAAATTCTCGAACAATGCTGGTCGTTGCTTGTCAACAAGTTACAATGACCACAACGTAAACGATGCTGCGGTTGAGGCCAGTCCACGTGTTGATACCAATCGTTCCGGCTCATTCATCGTATCGTGAGAAAAAATGTTATTGACCACGTGAACACGTCTTGCCAATGAACTCGAAGTTGGCAGACACACTTGCATCGCGAAAACAACGCGCTACCACTAACACGTTCATCGAACGAAACGGTAACTATTTGGGTACGGCAGTGTTCTACTCTGCTACAGGCTCATCTTTGGGCCGGCCTGCACGATAGCGGCTTGCTGAAAGAGGCCGAAATCCGTCCCGTTCAACGCCCCGCGCGATAAGAAAGAGCAAGCAGGCCCGTCTGTCCCTCATGAAACGCATGGATCGTGATCGACACAATGGCATCAATGAGGAAGTGTTCACCCCGCTCCTACCTTCAAGTTTTTAGGCCGGTCTCCTTGCCGAAAGAAACCGAAACAATCCGCCCCGATCATCGCCCAACATGAGTAGCAAGCGAGAGCACAAGCCCGTCTCCCCGTTACGAACGACAAGGCGTTGTGAATGAGTAGTCACTGACGACATGGCAAAAACGAACGCAACAATGACTAACCCGTTCCTTCCAGCAAAATGTCCAAGATGTTTCTGACCCGTAGGAGAATGACATGCCAGAGATGCCAGTTATTACCCTAGCATAATGAAATTGCACTAGAGCATGTGCACCACAGCACAGCATCCTGCCAATCGAGAGAAACAAGTCTTCGTGTACACACCAAAAATACTTGTTCTGGCGTGGATGAGTGGAACACTATCGCATGAGCACGAAAAACATTAACGTACGAGATACCGAAACAACACGACACACGCTCAACATCCTAGCGGTCGAGAGAGCAAAAAATGCGACCCGTACAACATCGCACCACAATTCGCACAGCACCAACGCCAAACACAAAACCTGCTCTACTACTACGCACCACCTCCTACAGCCTACAGAAAATGAACAGACGACAGGACGACACCACGCGGATGATGGCGTGCCACTTCCGCTATCTTCGTCGCGCCATATCGCTCCGTCAGTGTCTCAAACGAAACATCACTGCCTCCGCACGCAAGCGCGTGTCCCAAGGGGTTCCAGACGGAGATACCCCCCACACCCCGCCCTTCGTAATCACTGCCCGCCCCCCGTGCGGCAGTTGTTGAGGTTGCATAGACCGCGGCTTCCGGAATCGGGCTATACCCTATCTGAATATTTTGATGTAAAAGTGACGTAAGCCACCCCGTCTTGACTCGCGTGCTGGTGCGGAAACTGAACGGTAAAAGCAAAGAGACCCCCCTCGTCTTCTTCTACGCCCCGCACTGCGCGAAGCAAAGTGAGCATCGCAAGCTCCCCAACACAGGCACGGAAGTAGAGGTCAAAACCCCAACATTTCGCCCGGCCCCAAGTACAAAATAAAAGAAAGTCAGCACGAGAGACAGGAGCAGCTTTTCCGCCCCTCAAAATTCGGACGGGACGTTCGGCGAGCGTCGCGCGCGCTACACACGATAGTGGCTCTAGTCCGGCCGGCAACACGCCCGGCCACTAAAGCGCAATAAACTGGGTGAGTTTCACGCGGGCACGGCACGACAGGGAGCGTCGCGAGACGGCCCCATTCCGAACAATCCCCCCCCAAAAAAATAAACAAAGCCTCAGCCCGTGCCGACATGAAGAACCTAGTCGGGAAAACAGCTGCAATAGATAATACAAATTAGCTGTACAGAAAACGGCCTTCAATGGGAGTGCCGCCGCAACGCCGCAACACGGCCGTTCTTCCTCTCATGTATCCGTCGACAGCAACAGAGACTTGGACGTGAGAAAGGAAAACGGAACGTTCATGGCGGTGAGAGTCCGTGTTGGCTTCCTACCCATCCCCTTGGCTCCAACCGAACAGTACAGACGCAACCACTGCCGGTACCGTGTGCCCCTCGGGCCTGCCGCACATAAGACAGACAAAATATTGTCCCCCCAAAACCTGTTGTGTCGGTTCACCACATAGCAAAACTTATCACCTCAAAACCTGCTGTGTCGATTCACCCATCACGGCGCAAACAACATAACGAGGTCGCGTTCCTTGTAGCACACTTTTTTTTGACAAGACAGCATCGTCCCCTTTTTAGGAGGCGAAAGCCATCGCCGCAGTGGCCATGAAGCCCAGGAAGACTATGCCGGGCGTGGAGCTCGAAATCCCCCCGGGGGCTCCGCTAGTGTCAGCGTCGTCCATATCCCCGCCCGAACCTGCAAAATTTCAAAAATGGAGGGGGGGGGGGGGGG